TATGGTGCTTGTGAAAGCCCATTGGACCTTCTGAATTACAGCACAAACATCACATGCCCTGGGATGCCAGGAGAGTAAATGTACCATAAGTGAGGCTTTCCTGCAAGCTAGATGGATTTAAAAGATAACAGGAAATGCAGTCAATTCTCCTTATTCAAAAAAGTTATGTTCCAACATCACAAGCACTGAATTAGCAAATACTGAACCACTGTCCTAGGGAAAATACAAGGGCTGCTACAAGCCTCTAGTCACATTTTCATCAACAAATCACTACATAACTTTTGTGTGTTTTTTTAAAATACTTTATTTATTGTTGATTCATCAACATTGAACTCAATGGCCAACAACAATAAGACTCTTATTTGAATGAAGCTTACGTACATTTTCTCCATAAGGTACATCATAGCCTTCTTACACTTAGGAACATGAGACAGTACTTCAACATTACATATGGTTTGCACAGCAAAATCACAAAAAAAAACAAACATGGCACTAAATAGGCCAGGGAAAGGCCATCTGCCTATAGCATGAGAGCTGAAACAAGGCAGAGCCGCTGTTTGACATCAGACATGAGACAGTACTTCAACATTACATATGGTTTGCACAGCAAAATCACAAAAAAAAACATGGCACTAAATAGGCCAGGGAAAGGCCATCTGCCTATAGCATGAGAGCTGAAACAAGGCAGAGCCACTGTTTGACATCAGCTGGGAAAGCGTACAGCCAGTGACCAAATTGTTTGCCACTCTGCACATGACCCTGAATGACCCTAAAAGCACCATGAGCACTGATTTTGGAATTACAAGTGGGCAAACTCACAAATAATGAGGATCAACTGTACTTTTAAAAAATGTAGATCAATCTGCTTCTTAAAGTAGGATTTTCAGCCCTGGCCAAGTAGATTGGTAAGAGTATCGTCCAGATACGCCAAGATTGTGGGTTCAATTCCCAGACAGGGCACATTCAAGAATCAACCACACTAGCTGGTTTGGCTCAGCCTGCAGACAGCCTGCAGACAGAAGGGTCCCAGTTCGATTCAGGTCAAGAGCATATGCCCAGGTTGTGGGCTCGATCCCCAATAGGGGGTATGCAGGAGGCAGCTGATCGATGTTTCTCTCTCGTTGATGTTTCTAACTCTCGCCTCTCTGTAAAAAATCAATAAAATATATTTTAAAAAATATATATGTTTACTGATTTCAGAGAGGAAGGGAGAGGGAGAGAGAGATAGAAACATCAATGAGAGAGAAACATCGATCAGCTGCCTCCTGCACATCTCCCACTGGGGATGTGCCCGCAAGCAAGGTACATGCCCTTGACCAGAACCGACCCTGGGACCCTTCAGTCCGCAGGCCGACGCTCTATCCCCTGAGCCAAACTGGTTTCGGCAGTAAACATATTTTTTTTTAAAAAAAGCATCAACCAATAAATGCATCTCTCTCTCTCTCTCTCTCTCTCTCTCTCTCTTCCTCCCCTTCCCCCCCACCCCCACCCCACCCCTTCCTCTTGCTCTAAAAATAAATAAATAAAAATTGTTTTCTAAAGTAGGCCTTCCACATAGGCTAATTGCAGAAATCAAGGCCCCGGCAGGGCGCATACAAGAATCAACCATGAATGCATAAATAAGTGGAACAATAAATTGATCTTTCTCTCCCTGCCTCTCTCTCCCATCAATAATTTTATTGGGAAAAAAAAGAAAGAAAAGAAACCTGCCCCAGTGGTCACAATGGTATGTGGTGGAAGTAGCACCTAAAACCAGGCTCTCATCACCTGAACTTGTGCAGCCATGCCATAAAGACCAAAAAGCTGTACCTCTGTTCATAGTAATTCTAATTCCTGCAAGTTCAGACTACAGGAAAGCATTTCATTCATTTCATTAAGTTGTTAAAGAACGATTAGAAAACAATAATTTGAAGGTTTTAACAGATGCATACCTATAAATAGCCACAAAAGATTGATTTCATATGCCTTATTAGAATAATAAACAGAAGATGATCTCTTTATCACTTAAGCTCTAGAAATTCTCTTCCATACTTATCACTTGACACTTTTTTGTTTTTAATACCTACTTAAATATATATTATCTTCCAAACCAAGTTTACTCAATTTGTGCTGTCATTTAAGATATGTATGTTTTAACACTTCATTGGCCTACCCCTACACTAAGGAAGGGTCGGTACAAAAATGGCTGTGGTGATGATAACCCCAAGAATCCTATGGAAGGAACATGTGGTCAGGAAGGCACATGTGGTCAGGAAGGCAGATTCTGCAATTACGAGGCAAGACCCTGACACTGTTGTTGTTCATATGTGAACCTTTGCTTTCTCCAGGCCATGCTAGTGCCCCTTAAATTCTGCAAAATAGGAATCAGGTCTTCCAGTCCAAAAAAGATGACTACTGCACACAGAGGTAGAAGGGAGAATTTTGCTTTTAAAGGTAATATGATAAGGGCTTTTTAGGCAAAGAGCACAGGAGAGGGAGTCTTGGGTTCCCTTTCTGACCCCACACTTCAGCAATGTGACCTTAGACAAGTCCCTCGCCCTCCAGTCTCCCAACTGTTCTAGCGGGTGGGAGGATGAAATGGCTTAACACATGAAACTGCTTAGCCCAATACCGAATCCATAGGACACACTCAATAAATGTCAGATAAATGTCAGTAGTTACCTAGAAGAAGTAATGGTGGTGGTGGAGGTGGAGTGTCTTCTGAGCAAGACAAAATTACAAATGCCAATCTGACCCTCTGGACTGAAGTTTAAATGGGACATTCAAAAGACCAACAGTAATCATTTATAGAAATATTGTTAATCCACAGAGTTGTCTTATAACTTCATATGTTTCAATACTTTTTTTAAAAATATATATTTTATTGATTTTTTACAGAGAGGAAGGGAGAGGGAAAGAGAGTTGGAAACATCTATTAGAGAGAAGCATTGATCAGCTGCCTCCTGCACACCCCCTACCGGGGATGTGCCTGCAACCAAGGTACATGCCTTTGACTGGAATCGAACCTGGGACCCTTAAGTCCGCAGACCGATGCTCTATCCACTGAGCCAAACCAGTCAGGGCTGTTTCAATACTTTTTGAGAAACATTTGAAAGCCTTAATTCTACAGAATAAGGCTTGCTTATATACATCAAAAGGTGTAACATTTTTTAAATTACAATATACTATTGATATTCGCTTTTTTTCCCCTTCAGATAATGTTTCTATCAATAAGTTGTACCATCAACATAAGTGTAGTTGTAATTTAAGGACAACAATTACAGGAAATGAAAAATCCCTTAAACTCTCATAAATAGCTTATAAATTATTTGCAAATTTTAAAAAGTTTTTAAAATTCTCTAAATGATGATTTAGTCTATTCACACACACAAAAAAATCTACCACCAATTATTCTCTTTACATTATCTATAATAATAAAAGCATAATATGCTAATTAGACCGCACGTCCTTCTGGACGACATTCCGGACGAAGCCGGGGCTGGGAGGGAAGCCCAGGTCCCGGGATTCTAGACGAAGCCGGGGCTGGGAGGGAAGCCCAGGTCCCGGGTGATGGAGGGAAGCCGGTGCAGGCAACTGGGGGAAGAAAGGCCTACTCATGCACGAATTTCGCTCATTGAGCCTCTAGTTTCTAATAAGTTAGAAAATCTCTCCCTCTCTGAATGCTGACAGACTTTAGTTAAGACCATAGTTTTACTTTGTGCATATGTGTGGTATGGTTTCATTTTTTAAGGAAAAGTGAGCTAGAAAAAAAAAACATTTAGTTTTCCAGGAAATCTGAGTCAACTGCAGGACATGCTTGGGGACAGGAGATGCTAATAAAATCAGGTCAGTTCATTGAAGCTGCTGTGGTTTGCAATATGGAGAGATGGCGAAGCAATAATCCTATTGCAAGAAGGAATTAGGGGGTATTAGTACATGCATCCCACTTCGTCATAAGCTGAGAACTGCACTGACCATTTGCTCACAAGACCTGTTGAAGTGCCACAGGAGGAGGATGCTGCGGCACCACGTAACATTCCCGAATGGAATCTTTACAGATTTTTAACATCCTCCCTGGAAAATGTCCACAGGATCTCACTCACGGTGTGCTCCTAGTTGTGTTTTGTTTTGTTTTCAACACAAACATCCTTCCTAAGAAACCTATCACCCCCTACCCCCCAAAACTATTACATGGCATCAGATGATCAATCTTGCCCACCGAATAAAACTCAGAAAGGGAATTCAAACGCCCGATGTACCACACTTCCTTACCTGACGCCGAATCAGGTGGGTCCTGCCCCACCTTGCCTGGAACTCTCTCCGCAGATTTCCCTTTCAGAACGCCTGCCAGGGTCCCAGGGCTGGAACGAGAGAGCAAGAGCTGGGGGTGCAGAGAAGAGCAACCCTGACTTCACTACCCCCTCTCGTTCTCCTGCTCCAACTTGTCCCACGTCCCGGGCAAGGAGACAGCCTCGCCAGGTAGCACCACCAGTTCCACAGAGTTGGAGGAATCACCCCAAGGAGCCCCTCTGCATCCCTTCTCTGTCACCCCCGGACACGAGCAGGGGAAACGGCATCAGTCCCTTGGGAGAGATCAGGCAGGCAAGAACGGCACGTGCTGCTGATCGCAAAGAGGAGGAAATGATGAAGGCAGTGAGCGAGGTGTAGCAGAAAAAGGACAGCAGCAGCGGAAGGGACACCTCCCCACCGGTGCCTAACTCCAAACCATCTTCGACCAGTTGTCATAGCGCTTTACAACGAACGCTACTGCGCAAGTCCGAGGACAGAGCCCCGAGGCCTTCTGGGGGCTGTAGTCCAGAGGGGCTGAGGCCGAGGAGGGCGGAAATAGGAATGTTAGGCGGAGCTGGGCATCAGATTTCTACTGGGCGGGGCTGGCATGAACCCAGGCTCCCGCTCAGCTCCTCATCCGGACCCGCCCCGGCGCTTGTGGGTGGGGCTTTCTGCGGGGGCGGGGCGACCCGGCTTTCACTCGGGGATTCGGGTTCAGAGTATCAAAGCCTCGGGAGCGAATTCACCTTTTCCAGCCCACGAGGGTAGGTCCGTGGACTGGGCCGCTGCGGGGGAAGAGGGGCCGGCTCAGTACATACTCACCGTGAAGACCCCGAGGGTGGAAGACCAAGATCTTTTAGGCTGCGGGGCAAGGTTTCTGGGTGTTTTATTTTTTTCCTCCTGGAAAAAGTTATTTGTACATGTCTCCTCGTTACATGTGCTAAATATTCTCTTTAGTATATACGTTGGACTGGATTTCCTGGTATATAGGTATGCAAATATTCAACTTTATAATTGAACATAACGATAATACCCAATTTTCAAACTTTTTATGGGCTGTCAACAGATTGTCGTTGGTGCCAATTCAACACCAACAGGAATCCCCTAACTGGGGTGTGATGACGCAGGAAACTCGGGGCAAACAGTTCGGTTGTGATACAGCTCAGCGATGGAACAGCTCAATGGCGCTACAACTGCACTCTGAAGCCCACAGCTGTGGCGCAGAGGCAGCCCTGGGAGATGTCCAGTGACATGTCTTCAGCTCCAGCCCAGGGACTGCAGCCCCCAGAGGAAAGGGAATGAGCGTTTCCCAATTCAGAGGGGAGCTGGCTTATAAAGAAGTCCTATCCCTAGTCCCTGATTGGTCCATCCTCATGCAAATGAAAACTCCAGGGTCTCGCAGTTTGATTTGTCCAAAAAGTAGTATTGTTCGGATTGGTCAAAATACAGCTCTGATTGGACAGGGAAATTCTCAGTCTTATGGTTGAAGCAGGATTCCAGGAACTCCTTTATCCAGGCTGGCTCAAGTGCAGGAGATAGGTCAGCCCTGGAAGCAGGTTCAGCAGAGGCTGCTCCCTGAAGCTGGCTTGCCTGAGAGGTCCTGTTAGAAACAACTGCTAGGCTGGTTTTTTCTGTTGTTTTCTTCTTATTTTTTTTAACCCAATTAGCCACCAGGAGCCCTTTCTTGGTAGGTGGCTTCTTTCTTAGGGCCCACACATCTTTGCTTTCAAAGTCAGAGTAAGTATATAGCCTGTCATGCCAACTTTGAAACTTTTGTTCTTGCTTTTTTCACTAGATTTAACTTACACTTTAAAGTTCCTGTCTTTCACCACCAATTCACATCACCAGTAGAAAAATGTAATTCTAAATTATGGCTTTTCTTATAGATAAAAGAATTTCATGGAATGCATTAATTTCTAATACTTTGATATTAAACCATCACAACATTGAATATAATAAATAAAATGAAAATTACTTGGACCGCCACTAATAAAAGCTTAGGCAAAGTACTATTCCCCAATTAAAATTCAAATGACTGAATTAATTCTATTTGAATAAAGTTCATAACATCAGTGAGAAAAAGTCTTTAAAACCACTTGATATAATTCTTATAAAGAGAAAAATATGGCCCAGCCAGCGTGGCTCAGTGGTTGAGTGTGGACCTATAAACTGAGAGGTCACAGTTCAATTCCTGGTCAGGGCACATGCCCAGGTTGAGGGCTCAATCCCCAGTGTGGGGCATGCCAGGGGCAGCTGATCAATGATTCTCTGTCATCATTGATGTTTCTATCTCTCCCTCTCCCTTCCTCTCTGAAATCAATAAAAAAAAAATATTTTTTTTTAAAAAAGGAAAACAAAAAGTATGCAATAATACTGGAAGGAATTTTCACAATATTTATAGGACCATTATTAATTAAGTGGGGCTTCTTCTCCTTAACTATAAAATCAGGATGATTGACCAATGTTACATCAATAAATTCAATTTAAAAAATTACATTAAAAAATGGAGATAATATGTAAGGGCAGTAAACAGTACTTAAGTTTTCAAAAATTAAAACAATTCTTAAGGGCTTAACTCCATGAGCAGGACATAAAAAGCACTCAATGTATATTAGCTTTTCACTTCCAGTGCCCAAACCTTGTCTATGTACAATAAACACTATGTTTCCACCAGGGATCGCATACTCTAGAGAATTCCTATGGAGAACCTTCCTTTCTTCAAAACTGGATGGATCCTGTCACTTGTACGGAGCACCTCCTGTCTAGCCACTGGGAGACGCAAAGACGACCTGCACAGGAGCCCAGGCCTCCAGGTTCAGGACACGGAGAGGGAAGGCGCCCGCACAGGTGAGTCTGCAGGCGGCAGGCAAGGGCGCCCAGGAGCTCAGCCCGAGGCCGCCGCCA